ATGAAATTAAGATATTATTTAATTTCAATATCCTCGGAAATCATTCTCGGTAGGAATCGGTGTTCTTTTGCGAGGATTTGTAGTCTATCAAATCTGATGTAATAGCAGAGAGACTTGAATATGTTCACAGACTGCAGAATTCCCGGAGTTTCGGTGCTTCCCGGGCATAGCATAAACATAAACAATATTAATAAGACTGTTTTTCATGATTACATGATTATAGTATATAATTATTGTATTATTTTTCTTTAGGCATTGTCAAAATAATGTACAAATCAATTTCCTTACCGCTCATAGGCAAATATTATGGCACGCCTGAAAAACTATGTTACAGGATGTTTTTAATATTATTTTTTACTTCGATACACTTGATAACTTGTTTGTCAAACAGAACAACTACCCTGTTTGATCTTGTTCTGCTTAATTTGCAAGCCCGTTAAAGGGTTAAGATACCGAGACCAGTGATGGATAGCAGCATCAAAGGTGCAAGACATGACTATTATTGCGATCTCTAATCCGCTTGCCAAGTCTAACAGTTACGGTAAATCCTAACATTTTACAAAGGATAAAATTCCATCACTGGTCCTTGCATTTTGTCTAGCATATTTTTCCGTGTTTTTTTATATAGAATAAGGTTGACAAACGAGCACACAGTCCACCTGATGGTAAGTGGATGGTGTGGGCCATAGACATCTACATTTATCCTCGATTGAGAATCAAAATGCAGATGCGATGTCACCCTGAGGACTAAGATGGAATGCCTCGTTTCCAGTACAAAATCTGTAACAATCTCTCCGGATCTCCACACTCACCATACGAAACACAGCAGCATTAAGCTGCTATTTAACGCTGGTATTCTATGAGAGCGTGGTCCCTCCCCGGTTGAGCCGACCCATTCGTGCTACAACCATAATGTAGCTGCAGCGTGGCTCTACCACGTATAGAAGTGGCTTAAGAAAGGTCTTTAGAAAATGTGTAAACTGTGTAATATTTTTTATACCGTCCTTATCATTGTACACCAAAAAGTATACTGCTATACCTATAAGCGATTTAAGGTGCCATATCTTCAGTTGGCGCCTGACCGAATTCTGTTAGGACTCTGGTTCCTGATCCGAGGCGGTATAAATGTCGACAGTGCCTTAGGCTAAAGGGTGCTGATATGCCCTCTGGCGGATACTTAGTAAAAATAATAACTACGTATTTTGCAAAACAAACTAATTTATAATATGTTCAGTGGAAAAATATGAAAGAAGAAAACTCAAAAATCCACCCCAGGATACCAGCATCGATAATGCTGGAGAATTCCTTACTGAGCCACGGCCAAAGTATCTTCCTCCTGGGTGTGGATGCTTAGACTACGCCACGTATTTTGAGAAGAGGGGGGGAGGCACAACTCCGCTCTGTACATGTTCTACACGAAGCAAACGGATCAAAATAACTACTGTACCACACTCCAAGCTCGCTGTGGATTTTTGCAACATAATGGGTCTTCATTCAAACCTTAAGGTTTGCCACCATCTCGAGACGACCCAGCCGGCCTTGCTTTTTCTCACCACGACGCTGTTCTCTCTGGCTGATACATCTTATTTATCTTACCCAGATTACAAACTGGAACACTCTTTTCTGCCTCAGGGCGGTGTTTATGTGTACGTCACAGAGAATATGTGTTCTCGACGCCTTGATAGTCTTGAAGGTGTTCCTGTTGAACCTGTTCATTCTATTGCTACGGATAGGCCGCGACGACAACCCCGCGACTATGGATGCCTTTATATATCCTACAGTGGTAATGCTGAGACAGTCCGACTCTTCGATCACGTCCAAATGGCTACAGATCCCGTGCTACAACTGATCCCATCCAAAGAGATCATGCTGCTTAGCGATTTCAACGCCCACAACGACGAATGGATCAGTTCTCATACTACCGATCGTGCGGGGAAATCTGTTTACGACTTTGCCTTGGCATATGGTCTGATACTACTGGTCACTTCGCCCACACGGGTTCTAGATGTGCACATCATGTCTCCATGTATGCCACTCTTGGCTCTTCGGATCACAGCCTGATCCGAAGAGGCTGTTGCCATGTATGGCACTATAAGTCAGCGGATTGGGATGAGATGCGGGCTTTTTATGTATCCTACCCGTAGCGGCGGATCTCACTGGATGATCCTAACATCGTTGCTGAGTCTGTCACCGATGTGGTGCTCAGAGGATGGAAAGTTACATTCCCTTATCTGTAATGACTGTCGGCGGCAGATCCCAAGCATTGGTTAGATCGCTACTGCAAAATTGCGTCGCGGCAAAAGCAGGAGTATTTTAAAGATAGGCCGACGCATGCCTCCCAGCGGATAGGTTTAAGATGAACATGGTCAAAACAAAGATCATGTGTAACGCCCATGACACACCAATGCCGGTGTTTTTGGGAGCACTAAACTCGAAGTAGTTGACGAGTATCAGAAGTCAATCGATGGATTAAAGTCGGCTGAGCAGCATTCGGAAAATTAAGACAATTCTTATCGTCAGGTATTCCCCAAAACATAAAAACGAGATTGTAGTACCAGTGCGTGTTGCCAGTGATGACTTACGGATTTGAGATGTGGTCCTCCACTGCTGGCCGTATGAGGAAGCACGAGGTCGCTCAGGGAGCTATGGAGAGGACTATGCTCAGGGTTTCTCTGCGTGATAAACTTAAAAATGAGGATATCCGCAGTAGAATCTCAGTGACCGACATAACTGAACGGATTAGTAAGCTGAAGTGGCAATGGGCCAGCCAGAAGCCTCGAAGAACCGACAACCGATGGGGAAGCAAGGTTCTCGAGTGGCAGCCTACCATTTACTTGCTACTAACAGTATACAAATTTTAATGGCGTACTTGAATCTATCATCATATCAGGCTTACTTATACGAAATGGGTGAAACCTGTATCATATTCGTTTATAATGCCGAAAGATGGCAATGCAAAAAAAAAACTGCATTGCCATCTTTCGGCAAACTCATAAACTGAAAACAACACAAGAAACTATTTCATTAACAGGTGATGAAATATTCAGTGTACTCCACTAGATGTCTCTCTTACTTCGGAACTTTAGAGACTATAGAGAAATTAGGAGTTTTAATAATAGAATGCAGATGTCGCTGATACAATAAATGATTGGAGTAGGTATGTATCTTATCTTATTAACCATAATAAAACTGGACTGTGTTGATTATTAATACAACTCATAGATGTCGCTTTGCGTACACAAACATTATTGTAAATAAAGATGGCGTTAGTGATATTTTGTTTTAAGATTTCATTTTTAATCGGATCTATGCGGTGGTTGCCTATTATAGTATGTTACTTCACTTTCATTTGAATCAACCATGTGATTCTCACAAAAGCTTATCAATTTTAAAGCGTTATGCCCTCTAGGCATTGACTCTCGTTGATGTATTTTCTTTTAAAACTTTTACTTTTTTGTAACCAGTTATTTCTTCAGTTTCTCTTATTACTAGATTCTTACAAGTTGCACAATTCAATGAGTTAAATAGTTGTGCTACGTTCTTGCCTTATTAATCGTCATCACAGGCCTCTCCTCCGTTAATTTAAGTAAATCACCCTTACACGTTAGCTTGATCGTAAGCGGCTCATGAATAACTTGGATTATTTCTATATTGTACCTATTCAAAGTAAAATAAAAGTAACTTTATAATGGAATCCTGAATAGATAGCATTTTAATTTCACTATATATAGTGCGTGTGTGGACGTTGTACTTTCATTCAATTTTCTACTTCTAATTGTTAGGTTTTATTAAGGATAAAGAGGAATAAAATTGCGAAATATTGCTTTAATGGAATTTATTTTTCATTATGTCAATGAAAGATTACAGTTTCTAAACAAAAAAAATTAACGTCGCACGCTATTATAATTACATTGTTAAAACCATTGTAACTCTTTTACCAAAACAGTTAGAAATCAACAAAAAAAATTAATCATGGCTGTATTTATTGTACCTAGCTAAACTTATATCATCAAACATCAGGCTCAATATGAGCTAGCAATGGAGATCCTCGACCAGCGGCCCTTGCCACTGCATGTTTGAAAAGGTATTCTTTGAAGAGGAAAATTTAAAATGCAAAATTCATTTAGCAGTTGCTTTAATTAATTTTGATATCACAGTAGGCAAAGACCGGGCGAAAATCAGAACAAAATTACACTACAATATAGCATGCGTGTAACGTACTTTTGACGTCATATATCAACTCTGCAGTTCAATTGATTTTGGACTAAACTCGATATAGGAGGAACAATGTCAGAAAATAATTTCATCCTGTCAAGTTACGTTTAAATTGTACCATAATTCAGTCTCACTCACAACAAAAACGAATGATATAAAAATACTGCATCAAACGATATTGCGTCTTATATAATGCTCACATTGTAATTCTCAGACAATCGTAGTACATACATATGTAATGGCTTCACATCCTATTTGATCGACGTTCACCTATGTATATAAGTATACGATCACGTCTAGAAGAAATTATAGAACTACAAAATGCCCTAATTAGCAAAAAATTTTACATTTAACAAGGCATGATTGTTAATCTTTACAATAATTATTGGATGTTCGTCACTAGTATGCGCGACCGCATTTTCCTAAGTTCATTCATTACATTAAATTAATTAAACTAAATTCATTGACTATCCACTCATTCCTTACAATCAGATTTCAGCAACGGAACAACACACATACATCAGTGTTCTAATACTTATTAATACAAATCTAGTTTTTTTTTTAAATTATAATGAAGTGTTGAATGAAAACATCTCATAATATTGGTCACTAAGAAATAATTGGTCAAAACGATATGTTCAAGGATATAAGGCAACAATGCCGTGCAGTTGTGAAAAATTTTGATATGGATTTGTAATTACGACCATTAGATCATGGTTGAAGTCAAAGAGCAGCGTTGAAGATTCCCGTCTTCTCGCTGTTACATGCGCATGTTGCTACGGAGGTCAATACACGTAGATTTGCTTCAGTTGAGGCTTGAGCTCAGGGGGGATCGTGTAAACCTCCTGTTCGGGCTTCTTCTTTACAAGTCGCTTCCAGCGACCGCCAATATTCTTGCGAAGACTGCGGAAACTTGCCCTTTCATTACCGATTGGCTGCATCAAGTTGTCCTAGAAAAAATAAAAAGGCTTTCAATATAACGTTGCCTTAAGCTGCATTTATTGCTTTTTTTAAATGTATTGGCCTCAAGCCTAACGTATTTAACTGTTTCGTTCGACCTCGAAGTACCGTGTATTGGGACGATTTATTTTCAGATATTACACAATAACGTTGCGGTGTAACAATAATTAGTTGCTAGATCAACGAATGTTAAAGAAAGGTCGCTTCCAGTAATTGTGCAGTAACATAAGTACTAATAAATCGCAAGAATAGTTTGTCGTGTACGATAGGTATTGGTTATTAAACTGTTAGATTAGTAGGACTGAAGTCAAATTTTTTAATGTATCGTCTAGGAAGCTAACCGTGTAAAATAATGCAGAGGCCATTCGAGTATGCAGCGAGCCTTGAATACACTATTCAAAGTCACATTAGCATTCTATACTTCCTGGTACGGCGTCTCTATATGGGTGGTCGCACAGACGTACCAACGTAATAAAAACCACTATTGGGTGGTTTTGCATGTAGGCCTCGGGAAGTGGCAATCAGAGCGCGATATTGAGGTTAAAGTGTTTCTGTATTAGCCTCCTTTGTTCGTGAGAGACGATAAAGAAAGAAGGCCGAGCAGTTACAACATGCTCGCCTTGTACAGCTTTCTACTCTTCGAGCGTGTCCCGACATTTAAATTTTTTTCGCACTTAGATATCGTGACCGCGCCAAGTAGGTATAGCATAACTAACTCTCTCTTGCGTGGCGGGGACGTGGGTCGAACCAGTCACGGTTTCTTTTGAGGCGTAATATTCAACATAAGTTCACCAACTTTCCATATTGTTTGAAAGGTACCGCAACTGTGATTCAGAACTAAACTGAAGTGAACGCAGCTGGGCAGTACGACATTAAATGTTATTGGGGTCAAGTATAATTCTGTAACTGGTTTCGATTCTTGACATAGCGCGGAACTTCGAAGGTACTTACTGTTACGAAATTACATATAGTTGTATTATTACTAACCTGATCGTGCGGATAGACGTAAGGCGGGGGCAGCGGCGGTGGGAATTGCCATAGAGGCTGCTGGCGAAAGGCAAGAGGCTCCGGCTGGGGCACCGGAGCGGCTTGGAGCACCTCGGCAGGATGCACGGAGGCCGAATGCTCCTCCCGCTTGCGCAGCTTGCTGTGAACGATGCGAATCGCCATCATAGTACCGTTATTTCCAACCATTGTGGCAAACGGGTCCTCAACGCAAGAATAACTGAACACACTGGGCTGGATAATAGGCAACAAGTTCCAGTCGGGCAGTCACAACATTTCAATTTCACAATTTTCACTCACAACCTTAAAGCGGTCTTATCGACGCGCGTAACTAATACTAATTAAAATAAATTATCACAATAATTTTAAAGGCTATTGCACATATCACTGTTCATAGGAACACGCGGTGGACCGCGTTGGGCGAGCTTCAGCTGCGCGGTGACTAGAATATTATCGTGAAGTGTGGCCGGCAGGTGCCTAGCAAAGCGCTCGCTCGTGCCAAACGACCTCTACGGAGTACTCCATGCGTCTGAGTTGAAGTGGAGGGGCGCTCATGGCTTTTATATAGTAGCGTCTGACGCGGCGCCAGGGAGGGGACAGAGACGCGAGGAGAGGGGAAGGTGATTGCGACTATGTGGCCGTTTTCCGCGAAAAGCTACGGATAGCAGCAATGCCGTCGTTCTCATATCGTAACGGCTATGACGCATCAACAGGCACACCGTTGGTTTGTCCCCCTTGCCATAGCCATTAAATGAATTCAAACACCTTTAGATTTTAGACCCAATTTGATTTGGAATTGACGGCTGTGAGTGAAAACTGAAAACTAGTTATAATAAATTTGTGTACAATGTCGTTACTCGGGCGTTAAGAAACATTTACATTTTATATATATCTGCATAATAAAACATGTATATTATAATATGTATAGTAAATAAACATAACATCAACATGAAAAAGCGTGGCAACAGAGCTACAAATATTACATTAATCGGTTAACCCGTATTGATCGTACCGATAATATTACATCCGAGGGAGACAACGTGCTACATTTCACCATGAATAGAGTTCAAAGTCCACATAACGTGAGTGCACAGCGATGTATACAGTTGCTATATAGATATTAACTCACAGCTGAATCTATGGTTAACGTGTGCGTAGCTGACACTCCGACTGCATCTCTTTCCGGCAAATACTTACTAGCGTGTAAATGGAAAGGAGGTATGTATTTTGCACTTACGGCACTGAAAGCCAAAGTAGGGCTGCAGGGCAAGGGAGAGCGGGAAGGTGCAATGCCCTTAGTCCGCTCCCAACTCAAGCAAGCCTCTGGGGCTTTGACTTGAATGTGGCATAAAAAACACAGGTAGTTAAACCAATGTACGTTGTTACCCTTGAGAAAATTTGAAGGATACGCCATGAACATCTGTCTGTCGATATTATTAAATCGCGTAACGAATCAAAAAGTTCTCAATTATTCTTAATTTTTTTTAATGATTTCACAAAGTAATGAGTCTTGAAGTGAAATTGTGCTTCAAATGGTAAGAGCGTCGGAAGGAAAGTCACGTTCGTTCCGATTTCAAAACATTACAAAACACAAGTTTCAACCGTATTTGAGTCAACTACCACATTATCTATTTAACCGAAGTCATGCTCTGATGTTTTATCTTAAACCGTTTAAACTGCGTTGTAATATTAGATTATATTTTAAAATAAATGCCGCAATTGCATGTATGAGCGCCTGACATCGAAACCTTGCCGCAATAACGGGTTCTGTGTTTTGACTGAGGTTTGATTTCTTCATTTAATACGTTGATAACATTAATAAAGGTCCATGTAATTTAAAACGTTAAAGGCAAAGAATAGAAGCATTAATTATTGAATCGTAAATTCGATATCGAATGTGAATTATCTAAGAAAAACTTCGCGTGTATGCAGTATACGAAAATTCGCAAACATAATATCATCATAGCCTAATATTAATTGTGATATTGTTTTCTCTTATAATAAAAATAAAATAATTCAGATTATGTTCAACAGCTCAGATGTAAAAGAACTTATTGACCCCTCTTTTACGTCAATTGGGGGCTATCGTGTAGTAACTTCGAGGTCTAGAAAAATGTTCCAAAATAGCACTGATAATTATGTTGCCACCTCATATCATTAATTTACCGCGTACGCATTATGATTCAATATAAAATAGTATTACAAAATGATTTCTTATATTTACGACACTACACATATAAATAAAACAAGTTTTTACGGATTTTATCGCGCATTTTAACGAATGGGTCGGCTCCACGCCAACCCACCAACCACGCTCTCACAGAGTACCAGCATCAAATAGCAGCTCAATGCTGCTGTGTTTCGTATGATAAGTGTAGAGAACTGGAGATCGTTTTTACCGGAAACGAAGCATTTTATCTTAGTCCACAGGGTTGGCAAAGCATCTACATTTTGATTCTTAATCGAGAATAAATGTAGATGTCTATGGGCCATAGCATCCACTTACCATCAGATGGACTGTGTGCTCGTTTGCCACCCTTATTTTATAAAATAAAATAATCATCAGATTTCATAAACCAGAAATCCACGCTAAAGAACACTGGATCCTTCCAAGGATGATGCCTTATTTCAATGGAGAAAATGGTTGGGTGCTACCTTCTGCTTGGGATTCTATAATTAATAATATTAAATCCCAACCCAAGCTTACAACTGTAATACTTCATAATAATATGAGTTCATATCACGTACATCGGAACAAAAATCAATCATTTTAACCTGGTGGTAGCCGTGGTTAACTATGACATTGGGACGTCGACCACCTCAGTCCGTCCCCGTGACCATTGGTGATGTAAAGTGCTCGAAACGTCGAAAATAAAAAAATAAGTTAATCCAGTTTTATTAGTAAACAAAAATTTGTCCAAAACTGTAACTAGTCTATTTATCATGTATGTTTTTAAAGATAACGTAAACTTATGATAATTTTAACTTATTTCAACCATTTGTATAAATAAATACAATATTAAATCATATATAAGCTCTACTATACCATAATATAAGCTCGCTCTAGGACCAAAACTATTCATTTAAGCTATGAAAACATTTGCGTAAAAATATAAATATAAATTGACATCATGTCTTTTGTACATTTGTTCAAATAATGATTCTATTTATTTGATGAAGGTGCAAATCGAAGCCACAGACGCTCGTTGTTAGTATTAACAATAAATTATTCCTAGCATGAAGATCATAGAAGTCATATACGGACTCTATTACAAAACGATAAAAGCGTTCGAGAGGAATCGATAAAATTATTAGTAGTATTCATTCGATTGGGAAGGTTGACGTCAGAGATCTGATGGGAGTCAACAGAGGTACCTTTATTAATAATGTCAATGAAATGCAGAGAGGATGGAAAACTAATGATAATGAATAATGATTGGTCACAATGAGTGTTTAATAACTTGAATTATGAGCATTTTAAACTGCGCCAAAGTTTACAGATTGTATGGTATGTAGTGTTTGAGGTTTTTATATCAGTACGTTTGCACTGAGAAACATCCAACAAGTAATGTTTTGAAACAAATCGCATAAAATAAATCACACAACATGTTTTGTCGATGGTGGCGTTCGCACTCCGAAAAACAGTGTAAAATTTTCAGTAGATATTCAAACTCGAAATCATTCAACATGACAATATTTCGACAAATTTGTTTTCAAACATTTTGTTTCTGTATTTATATAGATATAATATAGTATGTACAATAAACTGTCAAACATATTTCACTACAACATGTTCTTTGACTATGCAATCGCTTTTTGATACATTGACATAAAACAGTGTATAAAACATGTTTTTTGTGAAAATCGAGTCAGTGCAAACTCGCGGTAATAATTCATAAGTTTCGATCGTTATATTTTAGTTTTACACGAATCTTCGTGCATTGTTTTAAAACCATTGCTTAGCTTAGATAATTGCATATGGTGCAGTGATTTTGTAAAACAGGAGTTTAATATATATTTATTTATTACATATACATATGCTTTATAAACCAGGTCTATAATATATTATTAATACGTGGTAGAGCCACGTTGCATAGTGATGCAACAGAACTCTGTTTCTGTTTCCGCAACTGCGGAAGTTCTGCATGGTTTTTAACATCCGTTTCTGCTTCTGTTTCCGCAAGTTTTATAACGGAATTTTGAACGACACGTCCATATAAATAGAGTTTAGTTAATCAGAAATTTAAATCGTGTGTGTAATTTAATTGCAATCATGAAGCCAAAAACAAGTCCTGTTTGGAACTATTTCGATGAGATTGATGATTTAGCAGCGAGATGTAAATTATGTGACAAAATATACTCGCGAAAAGGCTGCACAACTGTCGCTTTAAACGCCGAGTTTGCAGAGTTTGACAAGTAATTGAAACTGTAAAACTTTCATCGCAAACTAAAAAACAAATGGTCATTGCATACCTATTTATTTATAAAATGTATTCCTATGTTATAGTTAAAAACCAGATTTTAGTTAAAACGTGTTTTCTCCAGTTAAAAATAGTTTTTAATAAATGCCTTTGTTACAACTTAGATTTGCAAATTAATTAGGTAGCAGTTATGTTTTCGTGAAGTTTATATTATTTATTTTTTACTTGAATATATAATATATAATATTAATTATTTTTAAAGAAACTTTAGTGAGTATTTTGGATTCAAAGTTTATTTACGTCGTACTTTCGTGCTAGGGCTGTACTAAATTAACTACTCGCCAAACTTTAGGTTGTGGCTCTTTAAAGGGTTTGTCCAAATTTCAGTGCCTACTTAGCTTTGGTGTATAGGTGGTACGCAGCATCGCTAGTGAGGAATTACTTATGGAAGCTGGACTTGTAATATATGAAGAACACTGGAACAGATTGCTAGGTGTAAAAGCGGCCGAATTACTTTTCATAAAATATAACTTACCGCTACTTATTTTTGAATGTTAATTAAAAGTTTTATTTGTAATTTTTAATAAGTATTATTTCCGTTTCCGCATCCGTTTCTGTTTCCGTTTCTGCAAAAAAATATTTTTTTGTTTCCGTTTCTGTATCCGATATGACACTTCCGTTTCATCACTAACGTTGCAGCTATATTATGATTGTAGCACGAATGGGTCAGCTCGACCGGATAAGGACCACGCTCTCACAGAATACTAGCTCAAAATTGCAGCTTAACACTGCTGTGTTTCGTATGGTGAGTGTAGATTAGGAGACACTTTTATACAGGAAACGTGGCATTCCATCCTAATCCTCAGGGGCGACAACGCATCTGCGTTTTGATTCTTAATCGAGGATAAATGTAGATGTCTATGGGCCACAGCTTCGACTTACCATAAGGTGGACTGTGTGCTCGTTTGTCACCCTTATTATATAAAAAAAATTATAGGACTGTTTATTTTTCCATAAATGATGAATTTATTATATGCAATTTGGTTTTGAAGGGCTTTTTAGCAACAGTAGTTTTAAAAACGAAAACAAAGTTAAAGTTACTGCCTATATACGTCCTACTTCTGGGCACAGGCTTCCGCTCATTTCTTCAAATTTCTATCCACTTTGTCGCAAACCCAAACCTGAAAGTGTTGCACTAAACTTTACAAAGATAGTTAACAAATTATGTCGTATAAAATTATATATGTGTGTAGAATTTGGCCTATTTAAACTTTAAATGTTCAGAAACAAAATTTTCCTTATCTTTTAAAGATTGTTCAAAATTATTATAAAGAAAGTCGATGAGAGGTTTTTTTTTTATTTATTAACGACGAAAACTGTATTTGTCTCGATTAGTACTTATGGCTGTATCGTAATAACCGAAGATTTAAATAGTGTAATAACTAATAACACGAAAAACTATTAGAGATACCTGTTTAACTCTATTTCATGCTGATGTTCCGAATGAATCAATAGTTATTGAAAATTAAAAGAATATTGTAATAAATGCCAATATAATATCTAGAAACAATCGCAAACGAGTCGAGCAACTGTCTGAACACAGACTTACTAAAAAAATACTTTGTGACATTAAGACGACAAGGTTCAATTTAAAATGAAAAAAAATTTAGAGTTAGGATCTTTGTGAAAAGAACACAATATTCAAAACGATGCTAAGCGTGGCCCGTTGTGTGAGGTTTATGGCATGGAATTTAAAGTTAGTTAGTTATATTTGTGTGTAATATCGGTTGACAAAACGTTTACAAGAATATTTTGTCGTTGACTAACGAGCCATTAAAACGATTTGATTCGTCGATGCAACAAAAGGTTCTACGCCTTTGCGTAGTTTGGTAAATTATTTTACGAACAAGATTCTAAGAAAAAGGTTCAAATGACGTAGGTATAAAACAACTGAGCTTTTATCTTTATAAACCTTTGTATCCGTAACTGATTCGCTTAAAGCAGTTACGATATTATAGCATTTAAGTATATCACACATACGGATTAAAATGGCTTAAATACATGTGTGATGTGAGTGGTGTTTCACTCTATATCAACTCTGTTCTCCGGACTCACAAAACCGTACATAGTACGGTTTTGTTTATAAGAACATGTCTGTTTTAACGTACACATCGGCATTGTGGTTATATAAATGAAAGAAAGTCACACACACATATGCAAAATCTCTCATATCTGTGTTCAGTGAGTGGGTAACATGTTACTGATATAAACGAAAGGTTGACACTTGGTTTACTTGGCTCATTAAAAACAACCTTTTCTTTAAGTTCAATTTCAATACTTTTCAATTAGTAACACGTTTCTCTTGATATCTTGTTCTTCCGCATGCACGAAAATCATCTGGTTCAGTCAAGAAATTTTGAGTCGTGACACAAACGAACGTTTCGATTATTTATACAAACTTTAGAAGTGTATGCACTGACGATAGTAGATGTACAGTTTGTAATCGAAATCGATAAGAAATTAAACTCATCATTACAATGTATTTTATATATATTCAAAATGTAAAGATGCAACAAAATGGTTCATTATACAAAAAATATGTTAAAAATTAAATTTCCAATAATTTAAAAGGCATTGTACGACCGATGGCAACCTTGTCTTTGCATACGGTCATCGATCAATTCCTTTTGTGTTCCAGCTCTTTTTTGTTAGTCTCTACAAACTGACTCAGCTTATAGAATTGTCTGGTTTTAAATAGAATCGCACTACAAACAAAATCGCCAATAGACGCTGAGAGGCATCAATGTTTTAAAATGAAATCCACCAGTTTAAATTTCACTTTGACTTTGCCTTATTAGCCGACAGAGTAAGCGTATATTATGGGTAAATATCACGACCGGAGTATAGCCAATTACGTAGAATTTACCTTGACAACACAGAAGACAGCCTTGGACAGTGATGGAATAATAGCAAACTGGTTTCTCGATGCTGATATCGTGACATTTTTTGAAACCAAAAATAAATCAGCACGCAAAATGTAAGTAGTCATGCCTAGAAGCACAGTTTAGCTCATATCAGCACGACCGCATCGAGCCAGCTGTCCACTGCATTCGACTATCAATTACGTGAACGTGTTTGATAACATTAACACAAGCGTTTCGAGTTACCCGCGTTCGAATGGGTTGTTCCTGTCCCTCCCGCAGAGGCAAACGATAGTCTTGTTGACAGAGAGTACGATCAGAGAGTTGTGCTCCAGTACAACGCCGACTTCGCAGTTTTCCTCTTTACACTTCATCGCCTCGACGGCGATCGGAGCGAAGAGCATCGAAAGGCGTGCACAGACACTTGACACAGGGAGTGTTGGGGCGGTAGCGGTAAGGCGCCACCGCGGGGCGCTCGGGCGCGCGTTTTGGCGCAGACTGGCGGTCAGCCGCCGTTTTCATACGGCCGACACGACGTTGACTATTTTACTGTCTGTACGGCGCTCGTGACGCCGCACCTCGCCGCGCAGCGGTGGGTGGTGGACAACTCTCCCGTTACCTTATTGCTATGTTATGGGGGCTCGACCTCGCACCCAGAAAGCCCTCAACAATTACGTGTTACGTTATTGAACTTTAACGTTAAAGCAAACATTATGGTTAAGTAAGTAACATACGACATAGTCCTTCATAATTGATAGAATCAGGCGTTACTTTGCGGAAATCCATTATAATAAAAAATAAAAATATAAATTTCTTTGCAACTTTCCGCTAAACATATAAAATGATGTGTCTTACCTGGATTGAAGCGCACCTCCCGCCCTCCCTCAATTGCATACACTAACTCCGTCACCACTAGACCAAGCACCACTACTCTCAACACCACTATTCCAGGCACGATCGATGGTGTGTCTTGCCTGGAATAGTGGTGTTGAGAGTAGTGGTGCTTGGTCTAGTGGTGACGGAGTTAGTGTATGCAATTGAGGGAGGGCGGGAGGTGCGCTTCAATCCAGGTAAGACACATCATTTTATATGTTTAGCGGAAAGTTGCAAAGAAATTTATATTTTTATTTTTTATTATAATCCTTCATGTCGATGTTGCTAAATACCGTGATATGATTTCAAGTGAAAACGTTTAACTTATTTCATATGCAAATTATCTCGAACGAGTCGGCTTTGTTACACGAGCACCGTGGTTTTACTGAAAACAGTCCCACGTCAACGGATGTCGACTGGATCTTATTCATACATAACAAGTTGTGGCAAGTTCGAACCGGGGAACAGTTAACCAGACGTTACATTTGCAGCACGACTGAATATTCAATTTCAAGCCTATATAGGCATTGTAACTTTGCTCGTTTCGCTTCATTGCTTATTGAGATCGTTATAAGTGAATATACGCTAGGAAAATCTGTGGGAGACGATAATATTGTTTAAAGAATATACAGTAACCAGTGATAACAGTAAAAGAAACAAACTTATTAAAAGTATTTTTCCTGTTATCAATCGTTGAGAAAACATCTCAGTCCTGGGAAGACCAAATAAAAAACAAAAACCCAGTGGGAGTTTTGAAAAACAGCAAGAAACCCAGGGGTAAAAATTTAAACATTGCTCTCAATTTCAGTTTAACTCCTAAATCGATCAAGTACATAATAATATCTTCTACCGAGCTTTGACGTCAAAGCTTGTATATTGTTTAACGTTTTAAACATTGATGTCATTATCCGGTGATTAGATAATTTGCAGCGACATAATTTCTTTTTAAATTCTTAATTAAACAGATTAACCACTCTTGTTCCAAAAAAAAAAAAAAATAAATTTTTTTTTTTTTTTTTTATACTTTATCACGCGCACACATACGCATACTGACACACAGACATACAGACATCATCGAAAAATTGTCAGGGTGGCTTCCTGTGACCTCAAAACCTCAAGATTTGATGAAAACTCAATTTTCGAAAAACGGAGTAAAACAATAATTTTCCGGTTTTTGAAAATTTTTAATTTTCTTAGCGGGACGTTAAAAAAACACGAGAGGAAAGACCCATGTACAGCAGTGAACTTTAAAGTAATAAAAGGTAAGGGATTTTATTTTAGTCCTAACGCGTTACAATACATAGATTTTTTTTTTGGTTAAATTTTAAGCGAACCTTTTGTTTTTATTGCTGAGGCTCTTGGGGTGCAGTTGCCATTAACCATCAGATTGGTAGTCAGATTATTTGTACAATATTACAAAAAATATGTATGCACGCACATATAGTTCTATTATTATTGACTTCTAGGAGTGATCTTTTAGACGAGTTGCGTTATGTTTTAAAATCCAGTTTAACTGTATATTACACTAATTTTAATTTATACATTTTTATAAACATGTCTTTACCTTTTCTGTAGAATACTCTATAATTAAGTTATTACTACGTATGCAGCTATCACAGACTTAAATTAGAATAAGGCCAGTTTTCAGCTAGGTGGAATGGCGACTTAATGGGGACATAAGTCGACGCTTGCAGGTAGCTCCGGGTAAGACCGTGCTTTGTAGACATCTATTAAGAAATCCTATGTTCAGCAGTGGAATTGTGATAAACTATAATGTATAAATTTTAAATAAAAAAATGGGAATCCAGCTCAGGTAGCTTACAATATGCGAGCTACCTGTGTTGCATTCACAACGGCACCAAAAGAAATTATTCGTTGAAATTTTACGTGCTAATTTACAAATTTCTCAGTTGTGAAGGAAACATCGTGATGACACTGCATGTTTAAGAAATAAAAATATTTTGAAGAGAATTCTGCAAACACGAATTGAAGCCGTACGATTTGTATCTGGTTTAAAAAAACGTAATTCCCACACTACGATTTTCCCCTGCATTGTGGAGGCTGTTTACAGACATAAATTGTTCAAGTGGAAACATACTATATAAACAAGCATAATTATTAATTGCCCTATAATCTATCAGAAATCAGAGGAAGCCTGCGTTGTGTAAAACAATGAAAACAATGAGAAAAGGACAATGAAAGCAGATTTAATTGCACCCGCAAATTGTACATTGTGTCAAGTGGATATTTTTGTATTTTCGATTTATACACATACGTAGCAAGACTTATTATTGAATTTACTGTAAATAATATAGAAATGCATCTGTGATTCAAAATCAATAGCCATTGTAAACAAAATACATTGTCAGTTGAATTAGCGATCGCCCCACCCGCCTGACAACGACCTCGCTTTATTTCTAACTCGATCAATTATTTTTACATGAACCATGATGGCGACGCGTTTCCAGTAACTACCGTTTGAATTCCATTGAATCGGCTAGTATATTACATATTTCATCAAGTCATTAAGCTCGATAATATAACGATATTTTTATGAATGCCACTTACTATAGTTTGCAAATTGTCTCATATATTTTACAAAATTTTAATTATTTCTTAATAAAGATATGCTCTTTGCTGCATAATTTTATGATACGTTTTAAATGACGTTTATTTGTTTGCTTCCGTGCTTGAAAATGTTTGTGCCAGGCTGATATGGGTAGTACTGGGCCAACATCACAGTCAGGACATGCAAACAAGTTTGATGTTGTGGTGACGACCAGGCACAGTTGACGAAACACATATAATATAATATGAATATTTTATATACCATATAATTTTCTTTATATAATATCATGCATGAACTCTAAATAGTTTAATTCATGGTTTGATGATAGAAAATGGGATTGCTAGAAAAACTCTCCTTTTTATGTTTCCTATTTCATTTCAATAATGGTGACCATTATTGAAATGAAATAGTCATATCACATCTTTCTATTGTCTACATCTTGTTATCATTGTTTTATGATGAAATGGCTTTAATCTTTACATTGGTATCATAGAGTCATCCGGGTATAATTTTACATAGTAAATTATTAAGTTAAACATATTATAGAATTCCTCGGAGGGCTAATCCATCACCTAAGCTATCACAAACCCATTAGTCGCTTTTAACGACATTCTAGGGCAGTGATGCAGTCAGTGAATTCTTATTTGTTATAATTATGCCTACATAAACATCTCAAACCAACATTAAATAATTGTATGAATTATAAATAACTTTTATTTAAAATCGTTTGGCAAAACCACTTGGAAAGTTGCCCACCGATAAAGTTAAAATTACTGGACAAATTCATCTGTTAACTAATGTAACTACACCTATATGTGTAAAATGTGTAGGTATTGTACCCTAATAATTTCAAACAAATGATCTAATAGTAAGAGTATTTCCATGCTTGATGAGCATTGACATCATCTATCTGCCAGTGAAAGTCCCGTCAAAATCGATCTAGATTAGCCGAATCGAAACAGATTTTTTTTAAATTTGTTTTAAGTACACCGTATACTTTCATCCGTATTAATTAAAAAGCTGTTAGTTTGACAATAAAAACAGAAACTATAATTTCATTTAATTGTATAGATTGTACTTCAATATAAGTAAAGCTAAGTAAAGTTATAGCCTATATACGTCCCACTGCTGGGCACAGGCCTCCACTCATTTCTGAGAGGGTTTTAGGGCAAGGAATTGTCCGCCGCGCCGCCATAATGCGTGTTGGCGAACTTCACATGTCTTCGAAATATTTTTTTCTTATTTCTCTGACATGCAGGTTTCCTCGCGATGTTTTCCTTCACCGCCGAGCACCTGGTAAATCAGCACTTAAAATTGCATTTAACAATTTCATTGGTGCCGGCGGAAATCGAACCCAGTTTGCTCGCGTACTGTGAAATTTACAGCGTGTGCTAACCATCTGAGCTACCACGGTTCTCTACTTCAATATGTATGTGCCTAATTTCGAATCCCAACTGAATAATTGGGCACAACTCAAATAAACGTATTGTAAATGCATTAGTAATCCTATTCCTTAATAGCTATAATATTATAATGAAGGGCTCAATATCCTTGACTCTGAGTCCAAATCTTGTCTTTTTATCGATCTCGGTGATACCTATTGGATGTTGTAGAAATAAAAATACGAGTAAGTGCTGTTTAATGTTCCGTATTCCGTCTGAAGTTTTCCCTTAAAAATTGTTAACGAATACAGATGTAAGATTAAAAACTCGAACCTATTTCTTAAGGGGTCTTAAATTTGGAGGGAAAAAGGAGAATTCGAAAAAAGTTATTCATCTAATAGGATACCAATCAAAAGCTCTTTGAATTACCATGTTAAAGTCGCAAAATACATTATTTTGTAATTTTGCTTAACTAATTTAAATATTCTTCGAAAAGTATTTAAAGATTACTGCCCCAACTTGCCTTGAAACTTGACCAATTTTATGTTTTTTTTTACTTCCGGCCACGTGGAGATGCATC